TGACGACATAAAAGTGGTGTTTGTTATGGGTAAGACGAGTTGTGCCCCAACGCGGTATCACACAATACCAAAATTGGAGTTGCAAGCCGCTGTTATGGGAATGCGGTTAAAGGAATGTATTGTGAAAAATCATTTAAAAAACATTAATGCTATTTATTTTTGGACAGATTCCTCAACCGTAGTACGGTGGATAAGATCTCACCATCGAATATACAAGCAGTTTATGGCAAATAGTGTAGAAGAAATTCTGGATGATAGTAAAAATTAATTAGTGGAAATGGTGTCCCGGTGCAGACAATGCAGCGGATGATGGGACCCGCATGAAGCTGTCAAGGTCGTACAATCCTGAAGGAAGGTGGAAGAATGGACCTGATTTTTTAAAGAGAGGTATGGAGTATTGTTCCGTGGAGACCATAAGAGGTAGTTCGACTGACCGAAGCGAAACCGAGCTGCGTTCCAGATACCTAATATTAAACGTTTTTCCAAGTATAATAGATTGCTTCGGTATTTGAAGAACTGTCTACGGAAAGCTAGAGGACAAGAAATATGACTGGTGATCTGTCTGTTGATGAGGTAAATGAAAGCGAGAAGTACCTCTGTCGAAAGGTACAACAAGAAGCATTTGTGGATGATTTGTCGGCGCTTACCATAAACGACAGATTGTCTGACAAGAGCTAAAGACGTTGAATCCTGTTCTTGGCGACGACGGGATATTGCGCGTGTGTGGAAGAATTGAAATGCCACATTCTTTTCAATAGAGGCTAGAAGACCCATAATTTTGCCGAAAAATTGTCCGTTTACATATTTTATTGTGGAATGGAACCACGTACGTATCCGCCATATTAATTTCAACACAGTCATGTGTGAGGTACGTTACACTTTTTGGGTTCCTGCACTTCGTCAACTACTTAAAAGAATTCAAGCGAGCTGTGTGTATTGCAAAATACTCCGGGCCAAACCTCGTCAGCCACAAATGGCGCCATTACCCATTTTATTGACAATAATGATTCTTTTAATTCGAAGGTGACGGCTCTTAGGATAAAGTGGATGTTCAATACACCAAGCAATTCTAGTGAAGGTGGTGTCTGGGAGAGCCTGGTCCAATCCGTGAAGAAAGCATTGTATGCCATGATGAAGGAGCAGGCGCCTAAATTAGAGACGTTTCGTTCCTTCCTTATAGAGGCCGAAAATATGGTCAACTCCAGGCCGTTGATCCATCTTCCAGTTTCGCCAGAAGAATCCGAGCCGTTGACGCCGAATCATTTCCTGCTTGACGGTCCAATTCCATTAACACGCCTGCACCATTTGTGCCGAGGTTGTTGTGTTGGAGGAAGCAGTGGCGTGTTCTGCAAAACATGAAGAATGGTTTTTGGAACCAATAGTTGCGAGAGTACTTGCCAGAGCTGACTCGTCGCACGAAGTGGTGCCTGCCTTCGCAACCAGTCACAGTTGGCTGCCTAGTTTTTGTGTGTGATCCGGATCTGCCAAGCAGTTAATGGAAGAGAAGCAGAATAATCCAGCTGTATGTGGGTAATGATGGAGTGGCCCGATCAGCCAAATTACGAACCAGCACCGGAATATATCGAAGACCAACAGCCAAACTAACTTGATGTTGACACAAGATGTGGTGAATCCTCCCCCACTGGGTCAGCTGACGGCAACCCTGCTGATGATGGCAACCCTGCTACTGCCAATTTGTGACTCAAAAACTAACTCAAGAACGAATGACATGTTGGGGAAAAACCATGGCGCAAAATTTCCAAGCCGTTATTGTATTGTATTTTTTCATTTATGTATGTATTTATTAACATTTTTACATATAAAAGTCCACCAGGCGCATATACTTTCTTTTCATTTGTATCACTTTGAATATTAGTTTCTTATTATAAATGGATACATAAGTCGGATTTGCTTATTAATTTTGTCCACAATGTACGGAAAGTGGTTCTTGAAATTTATTCTAGTGTCAAGTATGATACCCAAGTACTTAACGTTGGTTTTCCAATTTATGTTCTGATTATTAAACAGGATTGGCCTCTGTGGAACAAGACTTGAGCGACGCTTTCTCGTAAAATATTCATCTTCAGTTTTATCTGTATTAGTTGGATCTTCCACTTGAAGAAATATTTTTTTTCTCTAGGCTTTCAATGATATTGCAGAATAAAGTTCCAGACTGTCGTCTGTGAAATTTGAAGCGACGCATTCTGGTGTAATTGGGATGTCTGATGTGTAGATGTTACACAAGATAGACGAGAGACAGGATTCTTAAGGACAACCAGCAATGATCGATTTTCTGACAGAGGCAAATGTCGCTATAGAGGCATAAAATGATCTATCAGATAAGATGCTTTGTACCATTTTTATGATTTCCATGGAGAAATTAATCTTGTATAGTTTAAATATAATATTTGATTTGATTCTGATTTTATGTCTAATAATAACATTCCAGTAGATTTCCAGATTTTAAATAGTGGTGGGGATGTGTTGTGTTCCTTTCTAAACCCAAATTGTTGTGGAGGAATTGTATTGTTTTGATCAGGGAACAGAATCATTTTTTAATTTTCTACGCTTATAAAAATTTTAAAATTTTCTACGCTTATAAGTGGCGTGTGATCGGATCCGAGAACATTTATTGTTTTAACATGCCTTATGTTCATACAATTGGTGATAAATAGGTCCAAGTTCGAAGGTTTTCGGCTGGAATATATGAACAATTTTGAGAAAACAGAATTTGAAAATTGTTCTGTTGGTATTTTTCATATAAAATATTTTCCCAAGAATTATTTTGGAACAACCCCAATAAGTATGCCTCGAATTAAAATCGCCTCCAATAATGAAGTTTCCATTTGAGGTAGTTACGATTATATGCTTCAGACATCCTAATCTGAAGCATATAATTGTCTACTTGTTGATAGACCTCTGGTTCCACCATTAAAGTAGCATGAGTATTTATTTAAGAAGCCGTTTTCCGTAGAATATGAGACACCAATATTTTCGATAAATGACGTATTAATTTTGGGTAATAATTGATGAACTATTCCCTTTTTAGCCAAAATGGCAACTCCACCCCTCTTTGATCATGTCGATCATTTCGGTAGCAAAAGTATGTCCTGTTTTTAATAGAACATTCTGTACTTAGCCAGGTTTCATTCAGGAGGCAAATATCAATATTTTGGCCCAGAAAAAAAAATAGTTCATTTAATTTGTTTCGAAAGCCTCTTGCATTCCAAGACACTATTTTTAATTTGAAATTATTCAATATAGACATTGGAAAGCAGGAGAAGTGATAACTTCGAATTGGTCGGGTTTAGTTTTACACCTGCAGGAGCTATTGTATTGCAAACAGCGCTCTACTCTTTGGTTGATATTTTTGGCTAATCTCGAGAAATGATTTTCCCACAGGACATTGTGGTGAAGTTGATTTATGGCTTCCGTTACAGTTAGCACATTTTACTGTTACATTTACATTCGGCAGAATTGTGATTTCCACCGCAATTAGCACAAAAAGTTTTAACGCTGCAACAATTTGAGCCGTGACCAAGCATCTGGCAGTTGTAATATTGAGTAATTTTATTTTGCTATTTATTTTGCTATCAGCATTTATTTTGCCATCAGCATTGTCCCCTGGCTCATTTTCATGATTTATAACGTCTGTTACATTTATGTTTTCATATATTTTGTACTCCAAGTGTACGACCTTTTGTATTCAGTAACTTTTGAAACTGCATTACATTCGCCAAGGACCACCTCCAGCGCTAATAAACTAACTAATAAAAATATACAAAAATAATTTTAATTTTAACATACTTTTTGCCAGTCTCTAATCGGTGACCCGTTTACATTTAATTTTGTAGCAATGGATTTAAAATTAGCTGGAAAATTACCTTTAGTAAACCCTTTTGCCAAACATGTTTTTTTCCAATTCGAAAACCAACATATCAAATTGTTTTGCTGTTGTTATTTTCATGATCAAATATCAAATACAAAAAAGTTACAAAAAATACAATGTCGTCACAATTTTTTACGATTTTCTTAAAAATCGACTTAACGTCGACTTTTGTATCGACAATTATAATAGCAATCATTTGTCGCTATCGAAAAAAAACGACAACCCTATATCCAAGGTAGATCTAATAGGTAGTCGCATCACCCCAGCTGGCGGCACCTTTAAATGTCAAAACAAGTTCTTGTAATGCTGAATTCGCCCTAAATGAATGCAACACAAAAACAAAGTTTGTTTATGTCGACTTCATTGAAAGTATATTTTTCTAATATTTCAAAATTTAAGAGCAACTTTTGAGTGTATTACCAGTAAAAAATTAAAATTTAAATTTGTCGAAGCCATCCGACCGCAATGTTAGGGAAACCAATGAAACATGAGAATTGTCCATGGCTTGGAGCTGTATTCCAGAATCACTGTAATCAAAGGTTCCTTCATTTAGCAAATCTTTGATGGTATCAAAGTCGATGTCACGAAGGCTTGACGCATTGTATGGGTCCATACAACCCCTTTACGGCCTTACTCTGTTGTATAGCCATTTTACTTTGCTGCTCCAACTTTTCACGAGAGCTATGACTCGGTTGGTCTTATCCAAACTTCCACTAGCCGCAGCTCCACCAGACTTCTGTGATCTGTGAAAACTCTTTGTATGGTTTGGGGAATTTGCATCGGCTCTGCTATCATGAGAGGTTTGGTATCCACCAAGTGGCTACTAACTTGATTGCTGGACATTCTTAAAGGCCTTTACTGGTGGCGATATTGGTGCTATGTTCTTTCTTTAAAACCATTTCATCAGGAACACTTGCCACTGTGTTCTGGAATATTAGTGGTATTTGTCGATGACGTAGATGATATTACAATTGTGGGCTTGTATAAAAATTTCGGGGAATAACTATCAACTTGGGGCTGTTGCAATGATCCCCGAGAGCCCCACGCATTTTGAATGATTTTGGGCCAATTGAAAAAATAATTATTCTAAACATGTTTTACATTTCCACAGATGTTCCAGATCCGAAATTATTTTGATACCGAAACATTGGGCGTCAAAATCGCTACAAAACCGTTGATGTCAGACGAGGATAGACGAGCGTTGGATACATTGGAATGTGAAACGAAGCAAATTGATGGTCGTTATAAATGTGCTTTGTTGTGGAAGAAAGACGTTCCCTCACTACCCGATTCTTAGAGTATGGCGCTTAATCGATTATACATCGTTGAACGAAAAATGCAACAAAACGATGAATATGCAAAGGAGTATAAATCCAAAATTGAAGACTACGTACAAAAAGGTTATTGCCGGAAGCTTATGGCAAATGAGATTGATGAAGTCAACAATCATGTATTTTACATTCCACACTTTGGCGTAAGAAATCCCAACAAAATGGGATTACGCCTAGTATTTGATGCAGCTGCCAAATTTAATGGAATGTCTTTTGTCTGGTTAGGACATAAATAATCCACTAATCGCTGTTCGTTTTGAATTTAGAGAAGATCCAATTGTAGTTTGCGCCGATATTCAGGAAATGTTCCACCAAATTGCTGTCAAAAAACCGACCAAAATTGCCAAAGATTTTTGTGGGGAGATGGTAACGTGAACAAGCCTGTGGATATTTACTTTATGGAGCGATTGATATTTGGTGCCACCTGTTCCCCCACAATAGCCCAATTTGTGAAAAATTTAAATGCCAAAACCTGTATAGGTGAATCACCAAGAGCTGTGCATGGGATCATTGACCGACACTACGTCGATGATTATGTTGATTGTTTTGATGCAGAAGATGAAGCAACAAATTCTTTAAACAATGTTGTTTAAATTCATAAATTAGCCGGAGTTAATTTACACGGGATAAAATCCAATTCCCAGCATGTTTTGAAGCAGTATGGCAATCCCACTGAGGATGATGAAACAAAAGGCAATACCTTTATTAATGGCGGAGTGGAACGAGTACTCGGAATTCGATGGGCGCCAAAAACATACGTTTTCTGTTTTGACTTAAAGGTAAACAAAGTGGACGGAGAAATATTGAAATGTGAAGAAGTGCCAATTTACACGGGATAAAATCCAATTCCCAGCATGTTTTGAAGCAGTATGGCAATCCCACTGAGGATGATGAAACAAAAGGCAATACCTTTATTAATGGCGGAGTGGAACGAGTACTCGGAATTCGATGGGCGCCAAAAACATACGTTTTCTGTTTTGACTTAAAGGTAAACAAAGTGGACGGAGAAATATTGAAATGTGAAGAAGTGCCAACCAAACGTGAGATGTTGTGTTCAAATATGTCCATTTATGACCCGTTTGGTTTCATTTGCGATTTTATGGTGACCACAAAGATAATATTGCAGTGTGTGTGGAAGAGTGGCATTAAGTGGGATAACAAGTTGCCGGCAGAAATATATTGTCGGTGGAAAATGTGGCTTGAACAACTGCCAAACATTGTGAAATTTAATGTGCCATGATATTATAGCCCAAATTTTAATACTAATGTGGTGAGTTGCATATATTTACGGATGCCAGTGAAGATGCTATGGCTGAAGTTGGATATTGGCGTGTAGTAAGTGACGACATAAAAGTGGTGTTTGTTATGGGTAAGACGAGTTGTGCCCCAAGCCGCTGTTATGGGAATGCGGTTAAAGGAATCTATTGTGAAAAATCATTTAAAAAACAATAATGCTATTTATTTTTGGACAGATTCCTCAACCGTAGAACGGTGGATAAGATCTGACCATCGAATGTACAAGGAGTTTGTGGCAAATAGTGTAGCAGAAATTCTGTATCGCAGTGAAATTAATTAGTGGAAATGGTGTCCCGGTGCAGACAATGCAGCAGATGATCGGACCGGCATGAAGCTGTCAAGGCCGTATAATCCTGAAGGAAGGTGAAAGAATGGACCTGATTTTTTAAAGAGAGGTATGGTGTATTGACCCGTGTAGACCTTAAGAGGTAGTTCGATTAACCGAAGCGAAACCGAGCTGCATTCCAGATACAAAGTGATGGTGGCAAGGCAAGTACCTTCTATTATACCTAAGATTAAACGTTTTTCAAAGTATAATAGATTGCTTCGGTATGTGAAGAACTGTCTACGGAAAGCTAGAGGACAAGAAAAGATGATTGGTGATCTGTCTGTTGATGAGGTAAATGAAAGCGGGAAGTACATCTGTCGAAAGGTACAACAAGAAACATTTGTGGATGATTTGTCGGCGCTTACCATAAAAAGAAAAGATTCCGAGCCGTTGACGCCGAATCATTTCCTGCTTGGATGCTCCAATTCCATTAACACGCCTGCACCATTTGAGCCGAGGTTGATGTGTTTGAGGAAGCAGTAGCGTGTTCTGCAAAACATGAAGAATGGTTTTTGGAACCAATAGTAGCGAGACTACTTGCCAGAGCTAACTCGTCGCACGAAGTGGTGCCTGCCTTCGCAACCAGTCACAGTTGGCTGCCTAGTTTTTGTGTGTGATCCAGATCTATCAAGCAGTTAATGGAAGAGAAGCAGAATAATCCAGCTGTATGTGGGTAATGATGGAGTGGCCCGATCAGCTAAATTACGAACGAGCACCGGAATATATAGAAGACCAATAGCCAAACTAACTTGATGTTGACACAAGATGTGGTGAATCCTCCCCCACTGGGTCAGTTCACGTGGGTGGGGAAGTTGCTGACGGCAACCCTGCTGATGATGGCAACCCTGCTACTGCCAATTTGTGACTCAAAAACTAAATCAAGAACGAATGACATGTTGAGGAAAGACCATGGTGCAAAATTTCCAAGCCGTTATTGTATTGTATTTTTTTCATGTATGTGTATACTTGTTAACATTTTTACATGTAAAAGATCCATCAGGCGCATATACTTTCTTTTCATTTGTATCACTTTGAATATTAGTTTCTTATTATAAATGGATACATAAGTCGGATTTGCTTATTAATTTTGTCCACAATGTACGGAAAGTGGTTCTTGAAATTTATTCTAGTGTCAAGTATGATACCCAAGTACTTAACGTTGGTTTTCCAATTTATGTTCTGATTATTAAACAGGATTGGCCTCTGTGGAACAAGACTTGAGCGACGCTTTCTCGTAAAATATTCATCTTCAGTTTTATCTGTATTAGTTGGATCTTCCACTTGAAGAAATATTTTTTTTCTCTAGGCTTTCAATGATATTGCAGAATAAAGTTCCAGACTGTCGTCTGTGAAATTTGAAGCGACGCATTCTGGTGTAATTGGGATGTCTGATGTGTAGATGTTACACAAGATAGACGAGAGACAGGATTCTTAAGGACAACCAGCAATGATCGATTTTCTGACAGAGGCAAATGTCGCTATAGAGGCATAAAATGATCTATCAGATAAGATGCTTTGTACCATTTTTATGATTTCCATGGAGAAATTAATCTTGTATAGTTTAAATATAATATTTGATTTGATTCTGATTTTATGTCTAATAATAACATTCCAGTAGATTTCCAGATTTTAAATAGTGGTGGGGATGTGTTGTGTTCCTTTCTAAACCCAAATTGTTGTGGAGGAATTGTATTGTTTTGATCAGGGAACAGAATCATTTTTTAATTTTCTACGCTTATAAAAATTTTAAAATTTTCTACGCTTATAAGTGGCGTGTGATCGGATCCGAGAACATTTATTGTTTTAACATGCCTTATGTTCATACAATTGGTGATAAATAGGTCCAAGTTCGAAGGTTTTCGGCTGGAATATATGAACAATTTTGAGAAAACAGAATTTGAAAATTGTTCTGTTGGTATTTTTCATATAAAATATTTTCCCAAGAATTATTTTGGAACAACCCCAATAAGTATGCCTCGAATTAAAATCGCCTCCAATAATGAAGTTTCCATTTGAGGTAGTTACGATTATATGCTTCAGACATCCTAATCTGAAGCATATAATTGTCTACTTGTTGATAGACCTCTGGTTCCACCATTAAAGTAGCATGAGTATTTATTTAAGAAGCCGTTTTCCGTAGAATATGAGACACCAATATTTTCGATAAATGACGTATTAATTTTGGGTAATAATTGATGAACTATTCCCTTTTTAGCCAAAATGGCAACTCCACCCCTCTTTGATCATGTCGATCATTTCGGTAGCAAAAGTATGTCCTGTTTTTAATAGAACATTCTGTACTTAGCCAGGTTTCATTCAGGAGGCAAATATCAATACTTTGGCCCAGAAAAAAAAATAGTTCATTTAATTTGTTTCGAAAGCCTCTTGCATTCCAAGACACTATTTTTAATTTGAAATTATTCAATATAGACATTGGAAAGCAGGAGAAGTGATAACTTCGAATTGGTCGGGTTTAGTTTTACACCTGCAGGAGCTATTGTATTGCAAACAGCGCTCTACTCTTTGGTTGATATTTTTGGCTAATCTCGAGAAATGATTTTCCCACAGGACATTGTGGTGAAGTTGATTTATGGCTTCCGTTACAGTTAGCACATTTTACTGTTACATTTACATTCGGCAGAATTGTGATTTCCACCGCAATTAGCACAAAAAGTTTTAACGCTGCAACAATTTGAGCCGTGACCAAGCATCTGGCAGTTGTAATATTGAGTAATTTTATTTTGCTATTTATTTTGCTATCAGCATTTATTTTGCCATCAGCATTGTCCCCTGGCTCATTTTCATGATTTATAACGTCTGTTACATTTATGTTTTCATATATTTTGTACTCCAAGTGTACGACCTTTTGTATTCAGTAACTTTTGAAACTGCATTACATTCGCCAAGGACCACCTCCAGCGCTAATAAACTAACTAATAAAAATATACAAAAATAATTTTAATTTTAACATACTTTTTGCCAGTCTCTAATCGGTGACCCGTTTACATTTAATTTTGTAGCAATGGATTTAAAATTAGCTGGAAAATTACCTTTAGTAAACCCTTTTGCCAAACATGTTTTTTTCCAATTCGAAAACCAACATATCAAATTGTTTTGCTGTTGTTATTTTCATGATCAAATATCAAATACAAAAAAGTTACAAAAAATACAATGTCGTCACAATTTTTTACGATTTTCTTAAAAATCGACTTAACGTCGACTTTTGTATCGACAATTATAATAGCAATCATTTGTCGCTATCGAAAAAAAACGACAACCCTATATCCAAGGTAGATCTAATAGGTAGTCGCATCACCCCAGCTGACGGCACCTTTAAATGTCAAAACAAGTTCTTGTAATGCTGAATTCGCCCTAAATGAATGCAACACAAAAACAAAGTTTGTTTATGTCGACTTCATTGAAAGTATATTTTTCTAATATTTCAAAATTTAAGAGCAACTTTTGAGTGTATTACCAGTAAAAAATTAAAATTTAAATTTGTCGAAGCCATCCGACCGCAATGTTAGGGAAACCAATGAAACATGAGAATTGTCCATGGCTTGGAGCTGTATTCCAGAATCACTGTAATCAAAGGTTCCTTCATTTAGCAAATCTTTGATGGTATCAAAGTCGATGTCACGAAGGCTTGCAGCATTGTATGGGTCCATACAACCCCTTTACGGCCTGACTCTGTTGTATAGCCATTTTACTTTGCTGCTCCAACTTTTCACGAGAGCTATGACTCGGTTGGTCTTATCCAAACTTCCACTAGCCGCAGCTCCACCAGACTTCTGTGATCTGTGAAAACTCTTTGTATGGTTTGGGGAATTTGCATCGGCTCTGCTATCATGAGAGGTTTGGTATCCACCAAGTGGCTACTAACTTGATTGCTGGACATTCTTAAAGGCCTTTACTGGTGGCGATATTGGTGCTATGTTCTTTCTTTAAAACCATTTCATCAGGAACACTTGCCACTGTGTTCTGGAATATTAGTGGTATTTGTCGATGACGTAGATGATATTACAATTGTGGGCTTGTATAAAAATTTCGGGGAATAACTATCAACTTGGGGCTGTTGCAATGATCCCCGAGAGCCCCACGCATTTTGAATGATTTTGGGCCAATTGAAAAAATAATTATTCTAAACATGTTTTACATTTCCACAGATGTTCCAGATCCGAAATTATTTTGATACCGAAACATTGGGCGTCAAAATCGCTACAAAACCGTTGATGTCAGACGAGGATAGACGAGCGTTGGATACATTGGAATGTGAAACGAAGCAAATTGATGGTCGTTATAAATGTGCTTTGTTGTGGAAGAAAGACGTTCCCTCACTACCCGATTCTTAGAGTATGGCGCTTAATCGATTATACATCGTTGAACGAAAAATGCAACAAAACGAAGAATATGCAAAGGAGTATAAATCCAAAATTGAAGACTACGTACAAAAAGGTTATTGCCGGAAGCTTATGGCAAATGAGATTGATGAAGTCAACAATAATGTATTTTACATTCCACACTTTGGCGTAAGAAATCCCAACAAAATGGGATTACGCCTAGTATTTGATGCAGCTGCCAAATTTAATGGAATGTCTTTTGTCTGGTTAGGACATAAATAATCCACTAATCGCTGTTCGTTTTGAATTTAGAGAAGATCCAATTGTAGTTTGCGCCGATATTCAGGAAATGTTCCACCAAATTGCTGTCAAAAAACCGACCAAAATTGCCAAAGATTTTTGTGGGGAGATGGTAACGTGAACAAGCCTGTGGATATTTACTTTATGGAGCGATTGATATTTGGTGCCACCTGTTCCCCCACAATAGCCCAATTTGTGAAAAATTTAAATGCCAAAACCTGTATAGGTGAATCACCAAGAGCTGTGCATGGGATCATTGACCGACACTACGTCGATGATTATGTTGATTGTTTTGATGCAGAAGATGAAGCAACAAATTCTTTAAACAATGTTGTTTAAATTCATAAATTGGCCGGAGTTAATTTACACGGGATAAAATCCAATTCCCAGCATGTTTTGAAGCAGTATGGCAATCCCACTGAGGATGATGAAACAAAAGGCAATACCTTTATTAATGGCGGAGTGGAACGAGTACTCGGAATTCGATGGGCGCCAAAAACATACGTTTTCTGTTTTGACTTAAAGGTAAACAAAGTGGACGGAGAAATATTGAAATGTGAAGAAGTGCCAATTTACACGGGATAAAATCCAATTCCCAGCATGTTTTGAAGCAGTATGGCAATCCCACTGAGGATGATGAAACAAAAGGCAATACCTTTATTAATGGCGGAGTGGAACGAGTACTCGGAATTCGATGGGCGCCAAAAACATACGTTTTCTGTTTTGACTTAAAGGTAAACAAAGTGGACGGAGAAATATTGAAATGTGAAGAAGTGCCAACCAAACGTGAGATGTTGTGTTCAAATATGTCCATTTATGACCCGTTTGGTTTCATTTGCGATTTTATGGTGACCACAAAGATAATATTGCAGTGTGTGTGGAAGAGTGGCATTAAGTGGGATAACAAGTTGCCGGCAGAAATATATTGTCGGTGGAAAATGTGGCTTGAACAACTGCCAAACATTGTGAAATTTAATGTGCCATGATATTATAGCCCAAATTTTAATACTAATGTGGTGAGTTGCATATATTTACGGATGCCAGTGAAGATGCTATGGCTGAAGTTGGATATTGGCGTGTAGTAAGTGACGACATAAAAGTGGTGTTTGTTATGGGTAAGACGAGTTGTGCCCCAACGCGGTATCACACAATACCAAAATTGGAGTTGCAAGCCGCTGTTATGGGAATGCGGTTAAAGGAATGTATTGTGAAAAATCATTTAAAAAACATTAATGCTATTTATTTTTGGACAGATTCCTCAACCGTAGTACGGTGGATAAGATCTCACCATCGAATATACAAGCAGTTTATGGCAAATAGTGTAGAAGAAATTCTGGATGATAGTAAAAATTAATTAGTGGAAATGGTGTCCCGGTGCAGACAATGCAGCGGATGATCGGACCCGCATGAAGCTGTCAAGGCCGTACAATCCTGAAGGAAGGTGGAAGAATGGACCTGATTTTTTAAAGAGAGGTATGGAGTATTGTTCCGTGGAGACCATAAGAGGTAGTTCGACTGACCGAAGCGAAACCGAGCTGCGTTCCAGATACCTAATATTAAACGTTTTTCCAAGTATAATAGATTGCTTCGGTATTTGAAGAACTGTCTACGGAAAGCTAGAGGACAAGAAAATATGACTGGTGATCTGTCTGTTGATGAGGTAAATGAAAGCGAGAAGTACCTCTGTCGAAAGGTACAACAAGAAGCATTTGTGGATGATTTGTCGGCGCTTACCATAAACGACAGATTGTCTGACAAGAGCTAAAGACGTTGAATCCTGTTCTTGGCGACGACGGGATATTGTGGAAGAATTGAAATGCCACATTCTTTTCAATAGAGGCTAGAAGACCCATAATTTTGCCGAAAAATTGTCCGTTTACATATTTTATTGTGGAATGGAACCACGTACGTATCCGCCATATTAATTTCAACACAGTCATGTGTGAGGTACGTTACACTTTTTGGGTTCCTGCACTTCGTCAACTACTTAAAAGAATTCAAGCGAGCTGTGTGTATTGCAAAATACTCCGGGCCAAACCTCGTCAGCCACAAATGGCGCCATTACCCATTTTATTGACAATAATGATTCTTTTAATTCGAAGGTGACGGCTCTTAGGATAAAGTGGATGTTCAATACACCAAGCAATTCTAGTGAAGGTGGTGTCTGGGAGAGCCTGGTCCAATCCGTGAAGAAAGCATTGTATGCCATGATGAAGGAGCAGGCGCCTAAATTAGAGACGTTTCGTTCCTTCCTTATAGAGGCCGAAAATATGGTCAACTCCAGGCCGTTGATCCATCTTCCAGTTTCGCCAGAAGAATCCGAGCCGTTGACGCCGAATCATTTCCTGCTTGACGGTCCATTAACACGCCTGCACCATTTGTGCCGAGGTTGTTGTGTTGGAGGAAGCAGTGGCGTGTTCTGCAAAACATGAAGAATGGTTTTTGGAACCAATGGTTGCGAGAGTACTTGCCAGAGCTGACTCGTCGCACGAAGTGGTGCCTGCCTTCGCAACCAGTCACAGTTGGCTGCCTAGTTTTTGTGTGTGATCCGGATCTGCCAAGCAGTTAATGGAAGAGAAGCAGAATAATCCAGCTGTATGTGGGTAATGATGGAGTGGCCCGATCAGCCAAATTACGAACCAGCACCGGAATATATCGAAGACCAACAGCCAAACTAACTTGATGTTGACACAAGATGTGGTGAATCCTCCCCCACTGGGTCAGCTGACGGCAACCCTGCTGATGATGGCAACCCTGCTACTGCCAATTTGTGACTCAAAAACTAACTCAAGAAAGAATGACATGTTGGGGAAAAACCATGGCGCAAAATTTCCAAGCCGTTATTGTATTGTATTTTTTTCATTTATGTATGTATTTATTAACATTTTTACATATAAAAGTCCACCAGGCGCATATACTTTCTTTTCATTTGTATCACTTTGAATATTAGTTTATTATTATAAATGGATACATAAGTCGGATTTGCTTATTAATTTTGTCCACAATGTACGGAAAGTGGTTCTGAAATTTATTCTAGTGTCAGGTATGATACCCAAGTACTTAACGTTGGTTTTCCAATTTATGTTCTGATTATTAAACAGGATTGGCCTCTGTGGAACAAGACTTGAGCGACGCTTTCTCGTAAAATATTCATCTTCAGTTTTATCTGTATTAGTTGGATCTTCCACTTGAAGAAATATTTTTTTTCTCTAGGCTTTCAATGATATTGCAGAATAAAGTTCCAGACTGTCGTCTGTGAAATTTGAAGCGATGCATTCTGGTGTAATTGGGATGTCTGATGTGTAGATGTTACACAAGATAGACGAGAGACAGGATTCTTAAGGACAACCAGCAATGATCGATTATCTGACAGAGGCAAATGTCTTTATAGAGGCATAAAATGATCTATCAGATAAGATGCTTTGTACCATTTTTATGATTTCCATGGAGAAATTAATCTTGTATAGTTTAAACATAATATTTGATTTGATTCTGATTTTATGTCTAATAATAACATTCCAGTAGATTTCCAGATTTTAAATAGTGGTGGGGATGTGTTGTGTTCCTTTCTAAACCCAAATTGTTGTGGAGGAATTGTATTGTTTTGATCAGGGAACAGAATCATTTTTTAATTTTCTACGCTTATAAAAATTTTAAAATTTTCTACGCTTATAAGTGGCGTGTGATCGGATCCGAGAACATTTATTGTTTTAACATGCCTTATGTTCATACAATTGGTGATAAATAGGTCCAAGTTCGAAGGTTTTCGGCTGGAATATATGAACAATTTTGAGAAAACAGAATTTGAAAATATTCCATTGTTAGCCAAAATGGCAACTCCACCCCTCTTTGATCATGTCGATCATTTCGGTAGCAAAAGTATGTCCTGTTTTTAATAGAACATTCTGTACTTAGCCAGGTTTCATTCAGGAGGCAAATATCAATATTTTGGCCCAGAAAATAAAATAGTTCATTTAATTTGTTTCGAAAGCCTCTTGCATTCCAAGACACTATTTTTAATTTGAAATTATTCAATATAGACATTGGAAAGCAGGAGAAGTGATAACTTCGAATTGGTCGGGTTTAGTTTTACACCTGCAGGAGCTATTGTATTGCAAACAGCGCTCTACTCTTTGGTTGATATTTTTGGCTAATCTCGAGAAATGATTTTCCCACAGGACATTGTGGTGAAGTTGATTTATGGCTTCCGTTACAGTTAGCACATTTTACTGTGTTACATTTACATTCGGCAGAATTGTGATTTCCACCGCAATTAGCACAAAAAGTTTTAACGCTGCAACAATTTGAGCCGTGACCAAGCATCTGGCAGTTGTAATATTGAGTAATTTTATTTTGCTATTTATTTTGCTATCAGCATTTATTTTGCCATCAGCATTGTCCCCTGGCTCATTTTCATGATTTATAACGTCTGTTACATTTATGTTTTCATATATTTTGTACTCCAAGTCTACGACCTTTTTTATTCAGTAAAATGCAACAAAACGAAGAATATGCAAAGGAGTATAAATCCAAAATTGAAGACTACGTACAAAAAGGTTATTGCCGGAAGCTTATGGCAAATGAGATTGATGAAGTCAACAATAATGTATTTTACATTCCACACTTTGGCGTAAGAAATCCCAACAAAATGGGATTACGCCTAGTATTTGATGCAGCTGCCAAATTTAATGGAATGTCTTTTGTCTGGTTAGGACATAAATAATCCACTAATCGCTGTTCGTTTTGAATTTAGAGAAGATCCAATTGTAGTTTGCGCCGATATTCAGGAAATGTTCCACCAAATTGCTGTCAAAAAACCGACCAAAATTGCCAAAGATTTTTGTGGGGAGATGGTAACGTGAACAAGCCTGTGGATATTTACTTTATGGAGCGATTGATATTTGGTGCCACCTGTTCCCCCACAATAGCCCAATTTGTGAAAAATTTAAATGCCAAAACCTGTATAGGTGAATCACCAAGAGCTGTGCATGGGATCATTGACCGACACTACGTCGATGATTATGTTGATTGTTTTGATGCAGAAGATGAAGCAACAAATTCTTTAAACAATGTTGTTTAAATTCATAAATTAGCCGGAGTTAATTTACACGGGATAAAATCCAATTCCCAGCATGTTTTGAAGCAGTATGGCAATCCCACTGAGGATGATGAAACAAAAGGCAATACCTTTATTAATGGCGGAGTGGAACGAGTACTCGGAATTCGATGGGCGCCAAAAACATACGTTTTCTGTTTTGACTTAAAGGTAAACAAAGTGGACGGAGAAATATTGAAATGTGAAGAAGTGCCAATTTACACGGGATAAAATCCAATTCCCAGCATGTTTTGAAGCAGTATGGCAATCCCACTGAGGATGATGAAACAAAAGGCAATACCTTTATTAATGGCGGAGTGGAACGAGTACTCGGAATTCGATGGGCGCCAAAAACATACGTTTTCTGTTTTGACTTAAAGGTAAACAAAGTGGACGGAGAAATATTGAAATGTGAAGAAGTGCCAACCAAACGTGAGATGTTGTGTTCAAATATGTCCATTTATGACCCGTTTGGTTTCATTTGCGATTTTATGGTGACCACAAAGATAATATTGCAGTGTGTGTGGAAGAGTGGCATTAAGTGGGATAACAAGTTGCCGGCAGAAATATATTGTCGGTGGAAAATGTGGCTTGAACAACTGCCAAACATTGTGAAATTTAATGTGCCATGATATTATAGCCCAAATTTTAATACTAATGTGGTGAGTTGCATATATTTACGGATGCCAGTGAAGATGCTATGGCTGAAGTTGGATATTGGCGTGTAGTAAGTGACGACATAAAAGTGGTGTTTGTTATGGGTAAGACGAGTTGTGCCCCAAGCCGCTGTTATGGGAATGCGGTTAAAGGAATCTATTGTGAAAAATCATTTAAAAAACAATAATGCTATTTATTTTTGGACAGATTCCTCAACCGTAGAACGGTGGATAAGATCTGACCATCGAATGTACAAGGAGTTTGTGGCAAATAGTGTAGCAGAAATTCTGTATCGCAGTGAAATTAATTAGTGGAAATGGTGTCCCGGTGCAGACAATGCAGCGGATGATCGGACCGGCATGAAGCTGTCAAGGCCGTATAATCCTGAAGGAAGGTGAAAGAATGGACCTGATTTTTTAAAGAGAGGTATGGTGTATTGACCCGTGTAGACCTTAAGAGGTAGTTCGATTAACCGAAGCGAAACCGAGCTGCATTCCAGATACAAAGTGATGGTGGCAAGGCAAGTACCTTCTATTATACCTAAGATTAAACGTTTTTCAAAGTATAATAGATTGCTTCGGTATGTGAAGAACTGTCTACGGAAAGCTAGAGGACAAGAAAAGATGATTGGTGATCTGTCTGTTGATGAGGTAAATGAAAGCGGGAAGTACATCTGTCGAAAGGTACAACAAGAAACATTTGTGGATGATTTGTCGGCGCTTACCATAAAAAGAAAAGATTCCGAGCCGTTGACGCCGAATCATTTCCTGCTTGGATGCTCCAATTCCATTAACACGCCTGCACCATTTGAGCCGAGGTTGATGTGTTTGAGGAAGCAGTAGCGTGTTCTGCAAAACATGAAGAATGGTTTTTGGAACCAATAGTAGCGAGACTACTTGCCAGAGCTAACTCGTCGCACGAAGTGGTGCCTGCCTTCGCAACCAGTCACAGTTGGCTGCCTAGTTTTTGTGTGTGATCCAGATCTATCAAGCAGTTAATGGAAGAGAAGCAGAATAATCCAGCTGTATGTGGGTAATGATGGAGTGGCCCGATCAGCTAAATTACGAACGAGCACCGGAATATATAGAAGACCAATAGCCAAACTAACTTGATGTTGACACAAGATGTGGTGAATCCTCCCCCACTGGGTCAGTTCACGTGGGTGGGGAAGTTGCTGACGGCAACCCTGCTGATGATGGCAACCCTGCTACTGCCAATTTGTGACTCAAAAACTAAATCAAGAACGAATGACATGTTGAGGAAAAACCATGGTGCAAAATTTCCAAGCCGTTATTGTATTGTATTTTTTTCATGTATGTGTATACTTGTTAACATTTTTACATGTAAAAGATCCACCAGGCGCATGTACTTTCTTTTCATTTGTATCACTTTGAATATTAGTTTCTTATTATAAATGGATACATAAGTCGGATTTGCTTATTAATTTTGTCCACAATGTACGGAAAGTGGTTCTTGAAATTTATTCTAGTGTCAAGTATGATACCCAAGTACTTAACGTTGGTTTTCCAATTTATGTTCTGATTATTAAACAGGATTGGCCTCTGTGGAACAAGACTTGAGCGACGCTTTCTCGTAAAATATTCATCTTCAGTTTTATCTGTATTAGTTGGATCTTCCACTTGAAGAAATATTTTTTTTCTCTAGGCTTTCAATGATATTGCAGAATAAAGTTCCAGACTGTCGTCTGTGAAATTTGAAGCGACGCATTCTGGTGTAATTGGGATGTCTGATGTGTAGATGTTACACAAGATAGACGAGAGACAGGATTCTTAAGGACAACCAGCAATGATCGATTTTCTGACAGAGGCAAATGTCGCTATAGAGGCATAAAATGATCTATCAGATAAGATGCTTTGTACCATTTTTATGATTTCCATGGAGAAATTAATCTTGTATAGTTTAAATATAATATTTGATTTGATTCTGATTTTATGTCTAATAATAACATTCCAGTAGATTTCCAGATTTTAAATAGTGATGGGGATGTGTTGTGTTGCTTTCTAAACCCAAATTGTTGTGGAGGAATTGTATTGTTTTGATCAGGGAACAGAATCATTTTTTAATTTTCTACGCTTATAAAAATTTTAAAATTTTCTACGCTTATAAGTGGCGTGTGATCGGATCCGAGAACATTTATTGT